ATTTTTGTTTTATTATTCACCAATGAATGCAGTCTTGACCCATGGTCAATATGGATACTAACAAATACAAAATAAACTCTGGCCATTATGGTATGCTGATTTTGTTTACAGTAGTTTTGTTTTCTTGGCAATAGTTAGGGCCACAAGTTGGGGAAACTGAATTGAGTTGAGTTCGTCTGAATTGCAGAGAATGACGTGTTGTGTGTACAAACAGTGCATCTGTCTGATCCGGTATGACCCATTGTGTGCATTTTGTGCTCTGTGGATGATTCCTTATTGAATACATCTTATGTTGGTATTAGTAGACAACGTTATTACAGATTTTGTTGTTTGTATCATTTTCCCATCAATGTATTAGAATATCTGGTGCATCAGCAGAGTCTGTAGAACTGAGTTCACATAGTTTGATGTAATGATTTCATATACAATATAGTCTATGATGCGTTGCTCCTTGCCGAAGCGATGTGCCTGTACTCCAACAAAGCTCTCTGAATACAGTGACAAAAACATTGATTGCTTTAAAGCCAGCTGGTATAAAAGGCCTCATTGCTTCCACGTCTTTTAATCCTCTGCTGCTGCACTTGCTCCTTTCTTTTTCTTTTTTTACAAATCATATTCACAGTGTGTATTCAGTGATGTGAATGAAGATAATATTTAGATCCTCGTCGAAGCTGTGAGGCCAAGCTGCAGCTGTGCCCATCGTTTGTCTATTTCACAGCAGCCGGGGAAGTGTAGCTTTTTGGGTGAAATAATGGGGCTATTGATTGCAGACAGAAAGCAGCAGTGCAGGAGCAGAGGCCTGCTAGGAGAAGTGAGTACTCCCAGTTTATTAGCTTATCATGTGTTAGCGCTAGAGCATCCTCCTCCTCCTCCTCCTCCTCCTCCTGTTCTGTAGCTTTCCACTTCTTGTTAACTGCCAGCTTTCCCTCTCCTCTCCCCCTGCTTCTAATTTGTCCCTGACCTCACATACACTTTCACAGTAGTATCAACCCTGTTTTCATTTGGTAGTGCATCTATTTCTTTCCCAAAAAGCCATTAGGATTCATTAGAGCCTGGGGACCTCAGCTGTGTCCGTCTCACTTCTTCCTTTTTTTGTATCTTCCTTCCTTTACTTGAATCTTTAAAGCTTCATTTAAAAAAGGTTATTTTGTCAACTTGTTTCCATTTCTTTTCACAATTGTCTTTCGTGCCTTAAGGTAGACTACGTTGCAAAATCACAAACTGATCCAATCACAATATGTGGCGTTTTCTCTGAGGCAGGCAGACACACATTCTCCATCAGTGTCAGATGCAGAAACCTAATTGTCTCTTTCATCGCAGTGTTGTAGATCACGTAGCGAGAAAGCTGGAGCAGCCGCCGTAGTTAGCCCATTAACACCAGTGTGTGTCATCTGGACAGGGAAATGGCTTACTGTAGAACACAATCTACCCACATTATGACAGATAACATATCGATTTAATTTGGGATTATTTATCTGAATTAATAAATGTGTGAATTTCTCATCCACTCAAGTATTTATTGTTTTGTGTTTTGGTTTGTGAGACTCCGTTGACGTTGCTAGATTCACAAAGGCCATATTTCAAAAGAGGAACTAGCTGTAGCCAATCAGATGTCTCCGTTATTCTCAGCCAATCACAAGCGTATGGTTTAATGCGTTCACAAGATAGCGTAACATCTTATTAAATGTTTAATTTATGAACTACATTAGGGATGTGAAATCATAGATTTATTGTGTTTGCTAACAAGTTAGCAATATAATGCTTATAGACAACCAACTTGGAAATAGCTAAATATATGCAACAAAATAATTTGCGAAATGTGCTACATTATGTGATCTGCACAATGAATGTATAATAATTCCTTACCATAACATAACATAACATCCATGGACTGCATACAATAACCACTAGGTAGTTTTGATTCACTTTAAACAATGCTAGCTAACATTACCCAGCTGTTCGATGTAGTACAGAATATATTACACTCATGGATTTAGCTATCTACAAATTAGCTGGAGAGTACCTCAAATTACTTTTTAAAAACCTTTAGTTGTCATGTGTTTGCTGTTATTTCCAAAGCAGCTAACAAATGTTAGCACATGTTCAGGTCCATGTTGGTCATTACATCATTCAGGGATTGCACAATGGACATTTTGGAGACACAACCAAGCGCTCCATTCCGGGGCTGCACGATATGGACCAAAGATCTGATGGTATAAATGTCCAGTTACAGTCAAAGCTACATGTCGTACTACAAGCACTTTTCTTTTAACAGATATAATTTGAAACAACATGATACCGCCAGACTTGAAGTACTCAAGTCGGACTCGAGTGCCGATTTTTGGGACTTGTGACTCGACTCGGACTCGCGCACTGATGGACTCGGACTTTCACATTGACGATGCGACTTGGACCTGGTCTCGAGCAAGTCTTTTTTTCGAGTCTGGGTGTACTCTGCCCCCCAGGCGTGTGCAGCAGCTAGTAGTAGTTTCCGAACCGCGTGCTACCGCTATTCTCAGTCTAAAAATGTGCACACACAGTGTAGAATATACAGAATAAAAGCAATGAAGAAAATAACGGGTTCAAATGTAGACATAACAACTATTGATTGATAAGAATCAATAATAATAAAATAAAATATTGATATACCGTTCAAATTTGAAATACGTCCCAGGCTTGCCTGAAGACCACACATTAGTAGTGGCAACAGCTAAGCCCAGCCTCAAAGCACTGAGATGAGGCTGGTGCACGTCCTCCTTCATTAGGCCCACACAGAGGATAATGGATACATCTTGGGGGGCATGCGTTGGTGTTGGGATCAGGGGAGCACAGGTTCAAACCCCACTGCAGTCAGCATGTCGTTGTGTCCCTGGGCAAGACACTTCACCCCAAATTGCTCCTGTGGGGATTGCCCACAGTATTGAGTAAGTCGCTTTGGATAAAAGCCTCTAACAAGTAACATGTAATAATTCATTGCTGTCCTCTTTTCAGGGTGTTTTAATACAGGAGAAGGCATCTCTGCCTCAGACCTATTCGGCAGAACCAACACGTTATAGTTGCCTCAAAAGGCCGCATCACGCTGTCTCAAATGATCACAACGTGAATATGGGAGGATGATAAGTGAGAGTAAAAAAAAGCTTCAGACATTAAAGCAATAAAGTAAACTATCAAAAATTACTCAGTTTTTATGTTGACAATACTATTACAATCGTACTAATATCTCACATCTGTAGGATTAAATGGGACAAGTAAATAGCTACCTAACATAAAGATGACTATTTATTTGTAAAAGTCCATTAAACACTTTGTCAAAACTCTAGTAGCATGACTGGTACCTACATATTTAGCTGTGGTCATGACCTCAAAGAGGACCTGAACTAAAATTAATAAACTTCTTGTAACAAATACAAGTGTTTTTCATTCTCAACAGCCATTTAAAAGATCATTATCTGGCCCAGCACTGTTGGTAGCAGATCACATAATTTACAGAACCCTGCAGACTTCTGACAATGTCCATTTCCTCCCCCCTACTCCTTTTACTCTCATCTCAGTAAGGGTGTGTTCATCCATCTCAGCGTCTGGCTGGACTCTTGGTGAGTAGTGCGGGCTTCCCATTGCATTGAGCACAGAGCTGTCCAGCCAGCACTCTCACTCATTACCCCCACGCTTCTTCTTCCTGAAAATGCACTTTTAAAGCACCTTAATTGCATTGGAGAGATAAACCCGTGGGTGCGAGACAGGAAGCCTCTGCCATAGAGCTTTAAAGGGGCTGGAAGGGTGGAGTGAGTGTGCGTGAGTGTGCGTGCGTGCGTGTGTGTTGGAATGGGGAGGATGGAGGGCTAAAGCTCTTTGCTTCAAATCGATGGCTAATGCAGCTCTGGGCAACTCCTCAGGAAGCATCAAGACTATTAGTGCAGGCCTGGCAAGAACACAGACACACGGACTGGTGTGTTCACTATATCTAGAGATGCAGAGGAACAAAAGCAATTTGGACGGTGGTCATAAATGCACTTACTCTTGTGTTCTATTAGTGTGTGTGTGTGTGTTTGTGTGTGTGTTTGTAATGTGCGGACAAGGCAAAGGAGGCCACAACTCACAACCAGATTTGACCTACATCTGCAGGGTGGCAACTCACAGCAGGAAGTGATCTGTGTGTGTGTGTGTGTGTGTGTGTGTGTGTGTCTGTGTGTTACATGTGGTTGACTGTGTGTGTGCTGCTTGACAATGTCCGTGTTTTCAGCTAGCTCTGGTCTTTTTGCTTCTTGCAATTAAGCCCTGCTTGACAGGAGATGCTGCGTGTGCTAAGTTCGACACGCTGTGTTTGTGCTGTAGATGTGAATAAGCATGTTTTGCAGAACTACCAAAATCTAAAGTCTCTTTTTTCAAATAAACAAAGTAAAGTTATTAAGCCACAAGTTGAATGTTGTGGATCTAAGAGATTACACACACTTAATTGGTGTTTACATTTTTTAAAGGATAATGCATTAATCAAACAAAAGATTAGCTAATTTAACATGTCCAACATTTTGGAACAGGATGGAGCATGTTGCAGTGCATAGCAGGTACGCATGATGGTTGTATTCAGTATGACAGCAGACAGACTCAGCCCATCTGCAGGAAATGGATGAAACCTGATTCAAAGTGAGAGTGCTGCTCTCCAGCCATTCCCTCTGCAGGTTGATGCAGAGAATTTAAATGCTTTCAAACAGAACTAAAAGTCAAAGCTAAAGACAAGAGATGGGCCTGTGTCTGTGTCTGGGCTTGTCTGTGTGGCCAGTGAACTAATTCATTAATCTGGTTGACAGTTCTCTGTGAACTCGGCAGTCCAGTCTGTGGTGAGGAATCACAATGAGACAAACTAGGCGTTGTTCGGCAGAGCAATGAATCTCCCCTGACATCCCGGCACCAATAAAGGCTTTTAAAATGGCAGGATTGTGTTTTGGAGGAAGCAACGAAAGACAAACATGAATATAAATTAAAAGAACAGTGAAGAGGCAAAAAAGGGGAGACTGGACACATTTTAATTGAAAACACGGAAGTAGAAAAATGAAATTTGTCCAAAAACACAATATAATAGACATAATTAATCTGCATCAATACAGAATTACAGTTATGTAAATAACCAATTATGAACAAAATAGCCTCCTTTTGTCTTTTCTTCATAGTCTAACATTTCAAAGGAATACACATTTGCTTATCACCCTGTTTTAAGTTCGCACAAATTAGCTCATGTTTTCACGGGTCCACAGCGGCAACCATTAGCGCTTTTAGCTTAGCTTAGGCCGCAATTAAGCAGACACTGTTGAACGGCCAATAAGCTATAGTATCATCAACTAGTACATTTGTATCTCATTAATGTCTTGACTGGTTTTTACATCACAAACATATAAAAGATAAATAACAAACACAGTTCAAACATTTAGAGCAAAAATGTCAAGCTAACTAGCTTACTGAATGCTAACTCAACAGGACAATCAGCTAAATTGGGAGAAACAGCATCAGAGTTTATCGAATCAATCTGAATGTGTGGGACTGCAAATGTTTCAAATTAGGTATGTTAATGCACATGTAACCCACTCTATCGAAATATGTCGGTGGTCTCAAAGGCTAATCTTGAGATAAACTTGTTTCATGGTATTCTTTTTTTATTCGAAAACTAACGTCTTGGCATTTAGAATATGCATAAATACATTTAGTGAAGCTGGTAAAGGCAGGTGGACAACTTTAGAGATTACTCCTCTTCCTCCAATCGTTCTTGGAGCCACTCCAACTTCTTTCGTTCCTCAATAGGGGAAGTTAATGAGATTGCTTCTCTTCCCAAGGTAAACCATCAGCTACTGTAACAGACAGGAAACTTCGTAATTCCCACCTCAGTCTTTCTCAAGCTGAGAGGGACAAACGGACCCCACTGGCTCCATGTGGTTTGGAAATACTTTACATGAGTTTATTTCTAATCTATCACCCAACCAGTGGAGAGATTCAAAGCAGATAGGATGTCTTTTACAATCGATATCCATCTTATGTTTATACCCAAGGATGGAAACTGATGGAGATGGAAACTCTTCATCCTCATACCAACAATTTTTTTCACAGGTTTCACAGCTCCTTTTTGAATATGATTGCTCTCTAGTGGGAGTAAGGGGAAACTACAGAGGCTTTCTGCTGAACCCAAATGCACAGGGATCGTTTCTCTCACTGAGAGGAGGCCAGACGGCTCCTAAAGGATCGATACATTTTGACAAATCTTGTACCATTTCAATGGGGAGAGGCAGAATCAAAGTAGTGCAGATTAATTATGTGATGCAAACAAAGGTAAGGCCTTCATTGTGTATGGATGACAAAAGACAGAGAAGCAAGTGAACAATAATCATAATAGATAACATTATTCTTTTACATTTAGAAATATGAGCTGTCCGAGGGAAAATTAGTTGAAAGCAAAACAATTTGAACAATTTACACTTTATTACATGCCTAGAACGACTGTTAAGTAATTCAAGATACTCAGTGAAATTATAAAAACATATTTCCCTGTGACAATGACTATATGTGAAACACTTTGAAGTTATTCATCAATATGACGTTTTTACTAATCTAAAGTTTCTGCTTTTCACATTATAGACACAGATCACATTGTGTCTATAGCATTTCAATTAGGGAATAGACCTTGTTCAACAGGCATGAGATTCCACTGATCCTTTGTAGAGGCTCGGCAGACTCTTCACTTGTTTATTTAAAATAAAGGATATTTAAATGTACAATGAAACACTGCAGTTATTGGATTCCAGCAACAAGGATTACTGCCTACCCATAATGTAGCTCCATTCAACTGTTGTTTGCCGTGTACATGCGAAATCAACAGAATTCAGGAAGCCGCTTCATTGAAGACATCTAGAATGTCTAGGTTTTGTTTTAGATGTTAAACAAAGGGAATACAATATCATTTTGACATACGGTATAACCTTTGTCAACAGCATGTTGGGCTTACAGTATGACTCTATTTGTCTACTCTAGAGGTTATCTGTATAATGCGTCTGAGTATCATATACCTGGGTTTCCAGATACGTTCTCCAAGATAGTGACGTAGATGGCTGCCATGTCTCCAGATTCCCTTAAACATTGCAGTTTAACTTTTTTACTTTGTCGCTTGTTTGAACGTTTTTTTCACAACAAGCAAACCGCCCAAGCAAGCCCTATCATCTATATGTGATATGATAAAGACAAACGTTTACCCATCAGAACCTTGGTAGACCGCAGTCTTTCACTAAAACTGATAACAAGTCATGGTTACCTGCTGCTGCTTTACCTGGGCAGCGCAGGTGAGAAATGAGGCGAGGCTCCTGGACTGGAGTTTGAGTCAGACTGAGGAAACATGAACTGTAACGTCATGGTTTTCACAGAGACTTGCCTTGATCCCTTAAACCAGGACTCCACTATTGCCACCCATGGATTCTCATTTTTTGCCAGGAACGGACTCTGGGAAAAGTACATGAGGAGGTGTCAGCTTGATAGTTAACAGCAAGTGGTTCTCAGATTTGGAGATCATTTATTCAGATTGTTCTCTCCATTTGAAGCACGTTTTTATGGGAAATTTGCCTTTTAATCTGCCGAGGGAATTTAAGTGTCTGTGTGTGTCTATGGTTATATCCAGACACACTTATTACTTATTGCATTATTTGACAAAAATATGCGGAAATACGCATTTGACATATTTTCACATGTTATAAAAATACACTCATCATCCCTTCTTTGAGGAAGGACAATCCTTTGTTTCCTCTGCTGAAAAATAGTCTGACATTGGTGCTTCACTTTTCCTCCAGTGGTCAGGAGCCAGGCTTCAGTCCACTTTACTGCATACTTTCAAAAGTGTGTGGTTGAAGTCCTCCGGCTGGTCAGCGAATACATAATGTCCGGCTCCACGGATCGTCTGCTAACACAGAAGGAAGCTCATTACGAGAGCAATGCACACAGCTATCAAAAGGCATTTTGAACATTCAAATTGATAGCCAAGTCGCTTTGGAAAAAAGCATAAGCAAAATAAAATGTGATGTTACAGTGTGTAGCGGCTGTGGTTCAGGTGTTAAATGGGCAAATACCAAGCAGAGGGTCAGTGGTTCGATCCACATCCGCTGTACCCAACATGTCAAAGTGTCCTTCAGCAAGATACTTAACCCTAAGTATTATTGCGGCTTTCACATCAGCGCTTTTCCCTTTCTAGCTCCGAGTTAGAGCTTTTCTGGTTCAGCTCCGGTTTCCCTTTTCTGCTCCCGCTCTGTTCACACCGCCCAGAGCCCGACTGTTGCTGCCGCTGCTGCGTCATGACGTCACCGTTTACATCACTGATTTGCTCCCCAACGGCGTTACGGCGCTCACAACAACAACAACAACAACAACAACGGGGAACTGCGTCGGGTCGATGATCGTGTTGCTTTTAATCACACAAAGCCAGATTAAATTAAATAACGACTTCTCCAACCTTATACTTTGCTCCTGAGTGCCGTGGTTCATTATTTATTAATGTGTTTCTGCGGCATTTACCGACCGCTGCAGTGTTGGCTGCTCTTCCACGGGAGTTTATTCTCCTCCGTTAGCTCCCGGTTAGCTCACATTGCAGCGGCCGCTCTAAAGTATTCACTGTCCGACTCACACAAGCAGCTGATACATATCCCCAGTTCCCCTTAAGTGAATGTGTGTCAGTCTGAATTGACGCTGTTTGGCATCACAACGCTGTTATGAAAGTTTCTCTGGTATAAAATGGGTGATGTTAGCATAGCAACCGAAGCTAAACTGACTACTTGCTATTGCTATCCTATTGTGGCATAAACCGTTTTCTACAGGCACATTTTACCGGCGTATTTTTATTATGATTCCAAGCTACTTGTGATAGTCGGACACGACAACCTGTGCAGCCCATGTATTGATTCCATCCGATAGCTGCTATAATACAAAACAACATGTCTGCCTCTCTCCACAATGATCAATAACAATGAACGGATGGTCAAAGTAAGGTACAAATAAACAGAATCACACGAAGCCTGGTTAGTGTTGCCTGACTTTATAAAGTGTGTTTATAAGCACTACTGCTTGTAGGCAGGCATGACAGTCGACCCATGTTCAGGGGAGGTGGGTTTAGTTTCCTGCACGCCTCGACGTAAGGGAGACGTAAGCGACGCCACCTCTTAGCTCCGAAGCTCTTGCCTCTAGACCAGTGCTTCTCAAAGTGTGGTCCGCGGACCACTGGTGGTCCGTGAGCGCCCCCTAGTGGTCCGTGAGTATATTGGTAACATTTCACATTTGAAATGTATTTATTTATTTAAGTTTTCCGCACTCTCGCGGGAATATCTCCGCAATGGAGCGAGCTTAAGTTTCACTTTCGATTGCATGATATAGCCCAGATAAATACCTTCATCACACACATGTTGCCACTTGTTTGTACCATTTTCAGGCGATTTGTAAAATACGATGTGTTTTTAGATATTTTTGGAGTTAGGTGGTCCGCGAGTGTTTTTTTATTGGTTAAGTGGTCCTTGGTATGAAAAAGTTTGAGAAACACTGCTCTAGACCGACAATTTTTTGGAGCTGGAAGTGAACCGGATTCCGGAGCTAAGAGGCGGTGCCGCTGCGGTGTGAACAGGAAAAACCGGCACTTTACAGGCTCCAGCTCCGAGCCGGAGCTGAAAACGCGTTGGTGTGAAAGGGGCATATGATATTGAAGTGAATGTAAGTTGATTTGGATTAAAGCGTCAGCTAAATGTAATGTTTCAGTACATGTGATTCTTAGATTAAAACACAGACAGGTATTCCTAACTCAGTACAAAAGGATTTCAATTGTTTTTCCACAAAGATCACCTATTATGCAAAATCCACTTTTTAATGTATTTTATACATAAATAGTGTCCCCTCTGCGTTAAGAGATTCTGAAAGTTTCAGGAAAAAAGACCCACTCTCTTTTTGTCCTGATCCATTTATATAAAAACCTGTATGAAAATTAGCTGATCAGATTTTGGCCACTTTGTGATATCATAAGTTAACGATGTTTTGGTTTGTATAACCATTAGCCAATAACCAACCAAGGTAACCCCCCCCCCCCCCCCCCCCACCACACCACACCTTATCACCTGAATCTCCTCCTAGAGAGCACCATTGTGTTCTTTTTCAACCAAATCTCTCTCAGAGGGGCGTGGGGAGGGGCTCCTTATTTTCATCTAAAGTAACAGACAGAGAATCAGCACTTTTGGAACAGGGCTGAAACAGAGGGGATTATGGGATGCTGCAATGATCTGCTTGGTATTTGGAGCCAAACACTTCAGAGACATGTTTTGTATATATCTGAGACCTATAATATATTGATGAAAAATAGTATAATAGCAGACCTTTAAATACACAGTTTAACATGATCTACTGTAGATTTAAACTAAAATGAAGGCACAATGAACCTACTGTGATCTCTACATGAGAGTGCGGCCTCATGTCTCTGATGCTGCTGCATGGGTTGCTGTCGATGCTGGAGCGGGACCCGTACATGATGGTAAGGGGGATCTGAGGGGGGAGCTGCTCCATCCTCTGCAGCATCGGCCTCACAGCACAGCCCTCAGGAGTGGTCATATTCTTAAAAGCCGTTTCCCCACTGTGACAAAAACAAGGCAAACAAAGGCAGATTTTGATGACAAGGCACAAGTGACAGCAACCAAACTCCTTTATAAATGACTTTCAGATGGCAATGACAGGGAGGGAGACTGACCTGGGGGTTTGCACGTTCAGGTGGTAGATGTACTCTGACACGGTGTTGTCGCTGAACATTGAAGAGAATTTCTTCTTGAAGTCAGGTCTGAGAGTCTGGACCAAAGTGGGCCCTGCAGGGACGTTTGAGGGTCACAACCATTATAGGATGAGGCTGGTTCATTACATTTGTCATGGTTATAAACTGCAGGGGGCTTTGAAAGCCACAAAGTTGAAGGTTGGATATTCAACTTTGGATATTACTACAAGGTTGGATATTTGACTCATATGAGATCAGTAATATAGTAACTAGTTTCTGTAAGAAAAAATATGAATACTTTAGCTCTTATGCTAAAATAACATTGGCAAACTAGTTTACCATGCCTGCTTTTGTCTTTACAGAGCAATGATTAATTTGTAGAGTTAAGATTATTATAATTTTTCATTCGTTTGTACTGCATTCATTTTCAGTTTTCTCATTCATTTTCTCTATGAATCAACAACTACTCTTTGATTACCCTGCATTAACATTCCACTCTTTTAAATTCACCTAGTATTATTTGTATTCCCTGGACCCTGTTGTGTTGCAGCTACTAAAGAACATTGCAGCTTCTCCTCCTCTCATGGATAAAAGCAGCTTGAGTCTTTGTCTGCATCTTGTTTCAGCCTCACCTAGAGGTCCAACCAGCCTCAGGCTGGCCAGCGGGTTGAAGGGACTGAACATGGTCCCCAGAGCTTTGATCCACACCGGGATGGGCCGGTCAGCCTCTGCTGTGTCGGGGCGCTCAGGGAAACCCCAGGGCTCCACCAGCACAATGTGCTTCACTCTGTAGAAACAAGTAAATACATGGCATGTTCATGTTTTGTCTTGTGTTTTGTAGACGAGATGTTGACACGAAATATGCCAATCGACACCTGAGGCAAACCTCAAACAGACTATAAACTGTTAACAAAAGGCACGTGAACAGAAATGCTGTTCAACAATTGGTCAGACATTAAGCGGGTAAAAACGCGAATCCTGGCAATTTCTACCGTAGCCTCCACCATGGAGCATCGGCAGGTTATTTTTATGCTGCTGTTAATCTGGAGAGCATATCTACAACTCTAGCGGACGGTGCATTTGATTATATAATCAGAAAAACGTGAGTTAAAAACATTAGAACACTTTTAATGAAAGACGTTCTGCAGTAAGGAGGAGGCTTCCAACGCTGTCCATAGCTGCTAAATGCTTACTATGATCACCAAGCTCGTGTTTTTAACTTTTCTCGAAAATCACAAGTCAATTTTACTAAACAGACTTCAACAGTACTAAATCTCATTGCAAATCAGATAAAAATTGGCGCATGTCTCCTTATTTGCTGATGTATCAATAAGGGATAATAGGGCCGATGCATTGGTGCATCCCTCAACACAACCCAACAGCACGTTAAGAGAAATCCCATCCTTACCCACCTTCCAGGGTATTTAATGGAGTATGACACAGCCAGGTACCCCCCCAGGTTGTGGCCCAGCAGTATCATGGACTCCAGTCCTACTTTAGCCCTCCACTGCTCGATGGACTCAACAAACTGCTCCTCTGCCTCCCGGGCGTCTGTAGAGAACCGAGGCCTGCTGCTCCGCCCGAAGCCCAGCAGGTCTACAGCCCAGACGGGCCTCTGCTGCGAGAGAGAGTCCAGGTTCTGAGCCCAGAGACCCACGCCCCCCCCGAACCCGTGGAGTAGAACTAGGGGGGTTCTGTCTTTGACACAGTCTCTGCTGAAGGTCAGAGTCCACAGCCTGGTGCCTTCGGAGATGGGGACGTACTGTTTGGAGTTCGTGCTGTCCACACCTGAAAAGAAAGGAAAATATTATAAAATATACTTTTAGATACACTGTGATTGCCTCACCCTGTGATGTCAATTATGTTTCATTTCATCAGGTGATGGATTATTGAAGTAGCAGTTTGTTTGAGTAAGATGATCACAATACAGTGATTGGGGGGGGAAGTTATTTAATCAGTGGGGAAAATTAAATGCTGGACAAAAAAGAAAGAAGACAGTGTTGACATTTTTTTACATGTTGTCATAGCATAAAGTCATTACGGTGGCCCTGAAGTGCAAGTCAAAACAGCATTTCAGGAAACACCACAGCATTTCACAAAACACCACAGCATTTCAGGAAACACTATAGCATTTCAGGAAACACCACAGCATTTCACAAAACAGTTTGTCGTTCTTTCGCTTCCCGTCTGATGAAAGGACGAAAGGATGAAAGGAGTGGCTGGATCAAGTTAGTAGCAAGCACGTTAGTTAGCATTACAGCCTTAGCCTTGTCATTTGTATTAGCCTTAACATGAAGTAACATTAAGTAACCCAAAAATGTTAAACAGTAAGAGTAGTAGTCATATTTCGTGAACCCTTTGAAGAGTACTGTCACACCGGTGTGATCATTCTATAATACACAGTAGCGTGGCGTGGGAAAAAAATTAGGGGAGGCCAATAATACGTCCTTTCTTTTGGGTCGGGGGTGTGGTGGTCAATGTAATAACGTAACCAGATGAGTGATTACAGCACCCGGTATCATTTTACACACATTTGTATCATACAGATGCAGGACTTACACACGCCTGTTATCTAACCGACAGGTCCGCACGCACTCTCCAGCCGAAACTCTAATAAGCATTCATTCACAAACTAAATCAGGAGACCTTTAACGTTTTACGTCCGATTCACTCCTTTTTTCCTCTCTGTACACAGCTCCAGTTTGGGCATTTGCCTGTCATCAGATTGTATTTGTTGTTGCTGCTGTAGCAGAAGTTTAGTAAAATTATTTTTGATTAAATACTCCAAATCTCCACCCTCCATAATTGCACTTGCTTCAGTTGCTTGCTTCTTTCAAGCGGCGGTGAGAGTGGTGCAGTGACGCTATCTATCTTCTATCGATTAGATTTATGATTAGAAAATTATAAAAGTAGGGTAGACATGTGGATATTATCCGACTGAACAAAACGTGCATTTATCTAACAGGTTCGTTTTCCACTGACCTTATTTCGAGCTATTTTCCAAAATCCTATGGAGAAATCCCATTGCTTTTTTGTCGAGGGAAACCGAGCGCAGCTTATTTCCGGGTTTTAGGATGCGTCACTGCAACACTAAGTTGATGCGATTTGATTGGATTGTGAGGCAAGGGAAGCCAGAGCCCTAGAGAGATAAGAGTTACGACACTCTTTGATGTCGCCGACAGCCGATCACGTGGTTTATGTATGCCGGGATAGTTCCAAACGCACTTCCATGGCAATGCTTCTCTATGGCAAAAACAACACAAACATGGTAAAAATAGTCATTGATTAAACCAACGCTGTTATTTTTTAAAGATTGCTTTCATATTTACATGATGTGGTTACACTTTGTATGGATTGGCACTATTTACAAGTTTCGTTATTTAACGATATTTTGAGGGGAAAGTGTGGTAGCACAAGCAGGCTATGTTGATGTCACAAAACACACACACCCAAGTACTTTTTCAACTGTAATTGCATTATTGCATCATTATCTCTCTAGGGCTCTGAGGGAAGCCAGCCGCCTCTGGCTTCCCTTGGCATGGCCCTGACCAATCACAGGTTGGCAGGGGCATGACGTGTGCCTCGTCTGATTGGTCAATCCCTAAAAAAAATTCACAAAGGAAAGCCAATTTCAGCTGGCCTCCTCTCGCAACATAGAGTGCAATCTACTGTTTCACCATAACATCTAGAGGGGCGCTGTTTCACTCTTTGTAAAATACTCAATGAGAATGGGGGAGAGACGGGCCAGCAGCAACACACAAAGAATTTCCGAAACTAAACGGAGTGTTTTTATTTATTTATTCAAATTATAACTACAATCAGAAAAAACAGGGGAAGCCTGGCTTCCCTTGGCCTCCAGGAGAAAACGCCACTGATAATACACCGTTTAAGCCCGGATGCCCCCGGGGGAGACATTCTAATGCTAACGCTACATTAGCATCGGCGATCTTTTCTACTTCATGCTATCTGCACAAATGGTTAACATTGAACATTAAAAATATCAGGCAGTTCAGGGAGAATCGAAGGAAGGCAGGCAGCTTTGCATGACATTCTTCTGGACATATTTCATTGTGATAGTGAGGGTGAATTTCCTTTTTTGGCAAGACAGTAGTGACGGCCATCTTGGTGACGTGTGTTGTTGTGCGAGACCAGAGATGTAGTTCATTGAGAGGTTTAACACAAAAAAAGTGTTAATGTTCAATGTCAACCATTTGTGCATGCAGATAGCATGAAGTAGAAAAGATCGCCGATGCTAATGTAGCATTAGTGTTAGCATGTCTCCCCCGGGGGCATCCGGGTTTAAATGGTGTATTATAGAATAGGGGTCGACCGATAATCGGCGGGGCTGATATTCCGCATTTGACCGATTATCGGTATCGGCCTTTTTTTTAAATCAAATTGCCGATAACACTTTGGCTCTGATGCGGCCGTTTCTCTGGCTGCAGTCACCACTCAGGGTGTTTCTCAATCGCGAGGATACTGGCTTGGTAGTCGCATACTTCCAAGTCACTTCCTTCAGAAACGAAGTAAGTATACTTCCAAGCCACGGCTTCGGAAAACGAAGAAGAATGGAACAGGCTAACAAGTGTGCCACTCTCTCTAACGGTTTCAACATAAACTGTACCGAAAATAAATACCTCACGATGTCTATCTAATTATGAACTTGCTTTACTTTCACGGAACACATTTTTGGTGATTACAAACAAATGTAACAAAGTAACATATTTACCAACACATGTTCTACGCCACTATACTTACATTTAAATGTGTGCTGTGTTGGTTCAGCCATTCTCCCCAAGGGTTTTTGAAATTGGTCCGTGCGCAAAGCATTGTGGGGATTTTAAGGACGCAAAGTCTACCCATGTGCAGCCTCGAAATTTCCCCAAAACCAAGGATGCGGCCTCGGTGGAATTCCAAGTATGCTGGAGATTGGAACAGTCCTTCGGCGGCACTCGATGACGTAGCATCCTTGAAATATTGGCTTGGAAGCCAGTAGGCCTATCCTCGAGATTGAGAAACGGCCCTAGTCTGCGTTCTTTCGCACCTGCCTGTAATCTGAGAAGGTCCCGCCTCTCTGGCTGGCTCTCGCCCGGAAAATCTTCAGTGTTGATTGACACTTCAGTAATAGCCTATCAGATAGCACTGTGGGCGGGACATTGCTCGTGTACACTGTGGCCGTTTCTCAATCTCGAGGATACTGGCTTCCAAGCCAATATTTCAAGGATGCTACGTCATCGAGTGCCACCGAAGGACTGTTCCAATCTCCAGCATACTTGGAATTCCACCGAGGCCGCATCCTTGGTTTTGGGGAAATTTCGAGGCTGCACATGGGTAGACTTTGCGTCCTTAAAATCCCCACAATGCTTTGCGCACGGACCAATTTCAAAAACCCTTGCGAAGAATGGCTGAACCAACGCAGCACACATTTAAATGTCATAGGAAAGAACGAGACCCCGCCTCCCATGCTGTATCCAGTTCTTATAGAGTGCCACAGTGACGCATCCTAAAACCCGGAAGTAAGTTAGCATTTGACCACTTCCGGTTCCTTCGACAAAAACCAATGCAATTTTCGAATTATAAATCTAATCGATAGATTTATGATCGATTGATGCATTGTTTTTGTCGAAGGAACCGGAAGGAGTTTACCTCCGGGTTTTAGGACGTGTCACTGTGGCACTCTATTCTACATCCATGGTATAAAGTGGTGCAGTCCTAAAAACCGGAAGTAAGCTGCGCATGGGTTCCCTCCATAATTGCCAACCTTGAGACCTCAGAAATCCAGAGCATTTCAAAACCGCGGGGTGCTGCTAGTGGATCGCCGGAGCTGTATTAGATTAACATTAACATGCTTATTGTAGTTGTAAGTGCACTGCCTTGCGGCCTGTAGCACCATCCTTGATGGAGCATATGTGTGGGCTGGACCTGTATTTTACAGGAAAGGAGTGAGCAGAGGGTCGAGTTGTCGATTCTTGTTCTGTTTTCTGTGATATATCTTCCTCACCCTCTCAGACTTTCAGTTGCGCGCGCTACTAAAGGGACGTGCTACCGTGGAAACCAAACAATGGTGAAGCTGTATTAAAGTCTGAGTGGAAACAGTCCTGAGTAAATCTGATTTTGTCAGAAATCGGGAGAAATGCGGGAGAAATATGACCCCGGGAGGAAACCGGGAGAGGGTTATGAAATCGGGAGTCTCCCGCGAAAATCGGGAGGGTTGGCAAGTATGGTTCCCTCTACAAAAAAGCAGTGGGATTTCTCCATAGGATTTTGGAAAATAGCTCGAAATAAGGTCTGTGGAAAACAAACCCGTTAGATCAGGGGTCTGCAACCTTTTTGACCAAAAGAGCCATTTTGCTCCTTTTTCCAAAACATTTTTTTGTCTGGAGTCGCAAAACATATTTCATAGTTTTTTATTGTTATATCAGACAAAAACTACAGATTTTTTGCATTTATTAGGCTTATTACATGATATAAAACTGTTAACCTCTAATAAGAAACAAATAACTCTTATAAGGAGAATTAAAAATAATACACAGGCCTACTTTAAAATAAATTAAACACAGCACTTGGGGAGTCCTCTGCACATTTGAAGGAAAAAAAAAATTATTAAAATGAGCCCACTTTGAAATAAATAAAACATATAGCTGCACCCTAAAAAGAGTTAAAGGTAGGGTAGGTAAGAATGGAGAAACCAGCTCGAGTGCGCTAGAATTTGAAATTACACAACCGGAAAAAATATGCCTCTTCCTTCAGACTTTCTTACAGAGTCCCTCCTCCAACACACACGAACG